CCCCCTCCCCGGCTCCCTCACACCCCCCGCCGTGTCCCACACCCCTCGTGTCCCGCAGCCCCCCCGGGTCCCTGTCCCGGTCTGCCTGCCTTGCCGCCACCTCCAGCCTGTACCTCCCCACCCTGCGCCTATCCTCAGCATCCTGAACGCCCCCTCGTACAGCACCCATCCCACCCCAACCTGCACAGCACCCTGACACCCCCACACACACTTTACAGCACCCATTGCACACCCCCCCACACAGCACCCTGACACCCCCCCCCCCACAGCACCCCTGTCCCCCCCCTCAGTACCCCCACCGGGCCCTGGAGTGGGTGCTGCCAGCTCGGGGTGGTCCGTGGCACTGGGTGCCTGTACTGCTCTGGGCCCTGCTGCTCTCGCTTCCCTTTCCCGGCCCCGGGTGATGTGGCAGGGTGCCCCGGGTGGGGGGATGCCTCGTTTTGGGGGTGTGAGGCTGGTTTGGGGGCTTGGCGGGGCATACGCTTGTCCTCGTGTCACCCAAAACCTGGGGCTGGGAGGGCATCCGGGCACGTGGCGATGGCGGGGTGCCCATGGCCGTGCAGTGCCGGTGCCCCGGGGCAGGGTGGGGAGATCTCTGGGCAGGGCTGAGGGTAAAATCTCCGTCACCGGGAGCCGGGGCAGGATCCGGCCCAGCCGGTAGCGGGGGATTCTTGAGATGTGGTGAAGGAGCAGCCAGTGCCATGTGGAAGGGCGATGAGGTTGTGGCTCCCATGGGACGAGGGGGACATGGTGGGGGACAGCCCTGGGAAGGGCCACGGCAGTGGTGCAGGATGCGGCCCTGGGAGCAGCACCTGCCCCGAGGTCCCCTTCGTCCTGGACAAGAGGAGCCACCCCGGGGTGCGGGGGGGAAAGGGCCCTTCCCAGGGGTGCGGGTCTGTGACCCCAAACCTGAGCGATGGTGGACGGCGAGGCAGGTTGGGGGTACAACCCCCCCAGTGTGTGTCATCCCCCCCCGGGGCTGATTTGCATCCCCAGCACCGTGCGACCCCCGGGTCTGCAGCTGCCCTCAGTTCAGGCTCTGGTGATGCCGATGGAGAGCTGATCCCCTGATTTTCCCCATCCCCGGGGGCTGTGTGGAGCATCTCCTCCCCGGGCACATCCCAAATTGGGGTGGGGGACCCCAGTACCCCCCATGAGCCCATTCTCAGTACTGATCCACTGCTGTCCCTTGCGGGTCTCTCTGATGGACATGTGGCATCCTCTGTGGAGGCAGGGGCTGCTTGGGAAGGCCTGTGCCCCCCTCAAAGCCAGGGTTGGCTCTTGGGGCTGCTCTGGGCATCATGGCCAAGCTCACAGTACCAATTTGGGGTACTGCCAGGGGGGCAACTATTCCCCCTTCCCTGGGGGGCTGCTGTGGGTCCCTGGGGAGTGTGGCCGTGGGGGCTGAGCCCGGGGCGCGGTGGCAGGGTGTGTGGGGCAGGGCTGCTGCCCTTCCTGTTTATGAAGTGGGGTAATTAAGGTCGGGTGGGGGAGCGGGCGTGTGGGGAGCCGGCGTCTGTGGAGGGGAGGCGAGGGCTGCAGTGCCGGGCAGGAGGAACCGGTGCCGGCAGGCAGGGCCGGGTGCGGGGTGAGCTGTGGGCTCAGGTGGCCGGCACTGGGGTGGGAGTGGGCAGCCCTGTGGGCAGAGAGGGGACCCATGGGGTCCATCAGGGGTGTCTGCGGGGTCCCTGTGGGTCAGGGTGGTCCCAGGGAGAAGGATGATGGGTGACTCTGAGGTCCCCATGGGTCAAGGTGGCCCTGGGGAGCAGGGTGACGGGTATCTGTGGAGTCCCAATGGGTCAAGGTTCATGGTGGTGGTTTGGTGGCCATGGGAGTTCCCAGTGCCACCCTCCCATCCCATCCCATTCCATCCCAGGCCTTGTCTTCATTGCCAGCCCCACGGAGGCGGGATGCTATTTCTCCACTGCCAGCCCCACGGAGGCGGGGCACAATCCTGCCCACCCCTGGCCATGGGGCCTGGCCACTGGCCCCACAGCATTTAGGAGGGGCACTCTGAGCCTCGGCAGTGCCAGCCCGGCCTCACGCTCCTCTCGCCACCGCTCAGCCCCCCAGGTAGGCACCTCAGGGCCCCAGGGACCGGACCCCCCTGTGTGGCACTCGGCTGGCCCCATGGCTGGGCTTCACTGGCCCCACGCAGGTGGAGGCTGTGGGGCACTGGGCATCCCGCTGGGTGGGTTCCCTTGAGGAAGGGTGCGTTGGGCATGGAGAGGGGCATGGGGGGCAGATGTGGGGCTGTGGCTCTGCTCCCCAGCTCTGGGGATGTCTTTGTGTGCTGGTGGAGCGATGCTGTGCCCGAAGGTGGGCTGGGCTACGGCAGTACTGGTGCTGGCTCACACGGCCCCACGCTGGGGTCCCTGGGGATCCCCATGGGTCAGCCTGGGATGCTGCCCTGCACTGGGGGCTCTGGGGAATCCCTGTGGGGTAGCCTGGGATGCTGCCCCGCACCAGGGTCCCTGAGGTCCCTGTGGGGTGACCCCATGTCAGCAGGGCAACCCGGGCAGGTCCATGGCCGGAGGCTGGTGGCCATCCCGGAGCACGGGGAGGGCCCGGGAATCCCAGGCATCCCCCACTGGGCGCACCGGGGCCTCTGGCAGCCGCGCCGGGCTGAGTCACCCCGCAGCTCGGACAGCCCCAAGCACCAAGCCACCCTTCAAAGGTGCTGCAGGCAGCCCTGGCTGGCTCGAGGCATGGGTGTCTCGCTGCGGGGTGACTCCTCTTGGGACCGAGCTGGCATCTCCAGTGCTTCCAGCTCCGGTGTAACTCACCCTGTGTCTCTCCCCAGGGTCACCACGCTCTCCGTGGAGACCGGCAGCTCCTTCCCACAGCTTGACATGCACCAGTCCCTTGAGCCCCCTGGGCAGCAGCCCCTGGGCTGTGGCAAGTGCAGCCCCATGGGCAGTGATGCTGGGAAAGCTGCTGGGTGCAGCGGGGGCAGCGGAGGCATCGGGAAGGGGCCGGTGATCTGCAGTGCTGTATGGTGAGAGTGAGGGGCTGGGGGCATGTGGCTGGGGGCAGAAGGGAGACAGGGTGCTTGGGGTGAAGTGGGCAGGGGGTGCTGTGGTAGTGCCGGGGTGATGGAGTCCCCAGGTTGGTGCTGATGAGGGATGCTGGTGGACAGGTTTGGGGTCCATGGGCCACTGCACCCCTGTGTGGCCCAAGGGAGGAGACTGCCGGGAATGGTGCAGTGTAGGGTGCACAAGGAGCCCTTGCTTCTGGTGGCAGGGGGAAGACTCGGGTGTGTGGACTCCCTGCCCTCTCCCGAGGGACTCTGGGGCTCCGATTTGATGCTGGGCTGGTGTGACGCAGAGCTGGGGTGATGTGGAGCTCCTCTCCATCCTCACTGGGAGTGTGAGAGGCTGGGACAGGGCTGGGATCCCTCTGACATCCCCATTCCCACAGTGGGAACCCCTATGCGGGGCTGGTGAGCCACCTGCGGGCAGCCTGGCTTTCAGGGAAGACGCGGCCCATGGAGTACCGTGTGGCTCAGCTGGAGGCCCTGGGACGCTTTCTGGATGAGAAGAAGCAGGACATCCTGGAGGCCACCGCCGCAGACATGGGCAAGGTGAGAGGGGGCCGGGTGCTGGCCACCGGGGTCAAATCTTTGGGGCCCTTCATACCCCCTTGTCTGGGTCTTGCACCCTGCTGGGTGCAGGTGTGGGGCTCTGGGCATGGGGATCCCCTCGCTGGGGTCCTGCATCCCCCTTGACGTGCTCCAGGGCTGGTGTGGCGCACCCGTAGGTGCTGGGTCCCTGCAGAGCTCTGTGTAGCCAGCGTTAGCTGGAGCATGTGTAGGGACCATGCTGCTGGGCAGGGTTGATGCTGCCAACCCTATCCCCGGTGCACTTAAACGGGGCAAAGCCTCCGTTGGCCGATGTGAGGTAGAACCTCAGCATTACCCAGCTTCGCCCTCTGCATCTACCCCACGCCTCGAGTCCCCGGTGGCTTCATGCGACCTCCGCAGATGGTGATGTCCTGGGGTGCTCCTCGCCAGCACAGTCGCACCTGGGATTACTGGTGTTGTGCAACTTGCTGGCCTTGCACATTCCTCCCAGGACTGCTCAGGGCCGGGGCGGCTCGCTGGCCTTGCAGGGACTGGTTTTATTGGCACAGTGCTGAGCCGTGCGGTGGCACAGGCAGGGACCTGGATGTGGCTCTGGGTATTGCGGCACGCTAGGAACTCCCGGATGGTCTGCCAAGGAAGCAGGAGCATCCCTGCCGTGGCTGTGTCTAGCAGTCTCAGCTCAACTCTTCTCTGTCCGGCCACTTCAGGATCCTTTTCTCCCCCTTTTTCCTTTCCTGACATGTGCTGCAGCCCAGCGGACCACTGCCCACTTCTCTCAGGCAGCATTAGGAAATCTTTTCAGAGGGATGGCTTGCCCCAGTGCAACATAACTGGTCTTAACTGGTAGTGGTAGCACTCAGACCCAAAGGACTTGTGTCTGTGGGCGTATCAGTGCAGCAGCCCGTGCCCTCAGACACGGCTTCCAGCATCTTGACATCTCCCAAGGTTTGTAATTGCCTTGTTTGTTTGAGGTGAGGGCCTTCTCCTTCAGCCGGGGGTTGATAGGCATCAGTGCTTGAAGTGCGTCCTTCATCTCTCCTAATTGTATGTAATTAGAGCTGGTTGTCTAGTAATATGCTTGTTATGCAGTCAGGCCTTCATAGTTAGATGGACAGTTCATCTGGTCTTACGTATCTGAGGTGGGTGCTCACCTCCAGGGATGCTGGTTTCTCTCCATTGATGATTGAAGGCACTTGGATGACCTCAGACTTAATGTCCCACCTTACAACCTTCGTGTCCCATCAAAACCCTTAGTGGCCCATCTTCAACAGCAATTTCCTCATCCTCCTAGTGATGCAACTGTCAGCCCTGGCCGAGAGCGGCCCCGTTGCTTCACCGGACATCCGATGTGCCTGCTGAGCCCTCACGTCTAGGAGCAGCTCAGCCTCCTGGCAGTGGCGTGTGTCCAGGCGCTTGAGCGGCGTTGGGGACCTGAAAGTCTCTTGAGTGGGGCTTGGTGGTGGAGCATGAGAGGTTGCTGCCTGGGAGCCAACAACCAAACTTTCCAACCCCAAAGTGGTGTTTTGCTGCAGTGATGGAGGAAGGCTCCCACCCAGGGATGCTTTTGGGTTGGAGGAGTCCAAAGGACCTTGTGGTGGAGGGTGTCAGACAGCTGTGCCCACTGCGCTTTGCAAACACGGCTTCAGAGCGCAGGAGCTTTGCTCTGGGGCGACGGAGGGGCTTTACTGAGCCTGCTGAGTTATCTTCTTGTGTCTTCACGCTTCTGCAAGAACAGTCCTGAGCTGTGCTTCACAGCTGTGGTTACCACAGCAGAGAGGACCCACCATGGGCAGGAAATGCCTCAGCAGCCCCTGTGATCCCGGCTCTGACGTCCCGCCACCGCTCCCAAGTCACTGTCCATTTAGTCATGGGATAGTGTATCTTGGAGAAACCTGCTGGGTTTGTTTAATTCCCTGACTGGGGCATCTCACTCGACCTGCCTTTCCCAGCTGCGTGCCAGCTCAGTGCAGGAGTCCCAGGAGCTATGGAGGGTTTCTGCCTGGGACGGGGAGTCTGGTGACATGCAGCCGAGCTCCATCATCAGGCATTTAATTAAGCGGTTGCTCTTCTTTACATTTCTGTTTGAACAAAGCAGGGTCTTAAGTTCAGCTTCTGTGCACAGGCTGTGGGAGGGAGCTTAGGGCTTTGCTTCCAGCTCTTGTGTCCAAGTGGTTGGGACACAAATGCACCAGTACAACAGCACTGTTCTGTCCCAGGTCAGCAGCGCAGAGCTGCCTCCGACACCAGTACCAGCTTTTCTGGAGCTCCTGGAGCTCTGGTGACATTGCTCGGTCCCCCTTTGGCTCAGGGCTCTGTTGCCAGGTGAGCAGTTCACAGATGCTGAGCTCAGGAGGCTGTTAAATATTGTGAAGATGTTAAATATTGGTTTTTCCTCTGGCCAAATACCTATTTTCATAAAATTTCAGGGACTGTGATATTGCCCAGGGGCTGCAGGAGGTGATAGCAACTTCTGCTTAATAGCTGCTACTTAATAGCTTCTCCTGCTCTTCATGGGCAGAAGAGGGGGGAGATGTTTCCTGCAGAAGGGGAGGAGATGGGGTCGGTGTTGGTGTGATGCTTACATGATGTCTGTCGCCAGCCGTCCTTTGAGGCTTACTTCACTGAGATCCTCCTCTGCAAGAACGAGCTCAACAGCACCCTGAACAACCTATGCCACTGGATGAAGGACGAGCACGTGGACAAGAGTCTGGTAAGGCAGAAGCTCTGGGCTGACCTCGGAAAGGAAGAGGGGGAGACAAATTGCCGGTGGCAAGGGGCAGAGCGGGTTGGGGAGGACAGCACTGTGTGCTGGGCTGAGGCAGGGCAGGAGGTGGTGGGAACGGCACTGAGGTAGTGGTCTTTCTCACAGGTGACGCAGCTGGACTGTGCCTTCATCCGCAAGGACCCGTATGGGGTGGTGCTCATCATCGCGCCCTGGAACTACCCCATCCACCTCTTCCTGGTGCCCCTCATCGGGGCCATCGCTGCCGGTGAGCCGAACCTCTCTCCTTGCCTGGAGGATCCAGGCAGTGCCAGGCACACCAGCAAAGGGGTCTGGCCAGTGGCCTTGTCCCCATCCTGGGGTGCCAGAAGGGCTGGCTGTCAACCATGTCACTGCTCTGATGTCCTGTCGAACTTCCGCCAGGTAACTGTGTTGTTGTCAAACCCTCGGAGACGACCAAGAACAGCGAGAGACTTATTGCTGAAATGCTGACCTGCTACCTGGACAATGTAAGAAGCTCTTCCTGTCCTTGTCCCTGTCCCTGTCCCTGCCCCAGGGCCACGGTGTTCCCAATCCTGCCTTGCACGCACCAGCACCACGCCATCCCTGGTTTCAGGTGCTGCTGTACCTCCTTTCTCCATGCTCAGCCGGTGTCTGCATACCCAGCAGCCTGGGATGCTTTTGGTGGGGACGGGGACACAGTGGATGCTTACAGTGGGTGACCCTTCCTCTTACATTGCAGGACTGCTTTGCTGTGGTGACTGCTGGCGTGCAGGAGACCACCAGACTGCTGGAGAACAAGTTCGACTACATCTTCTTCACTGGTATGTCCCGAGGGCCAGAGCAGAGCCCTACCTGGTTTTTGTGCAATGAGGAAGAGGGATTCCCGCTGGACACCCCGCTGTGGCTTACCCTGCCCGTCAACGTGTGATGGTGGGCAGCCTGCCTGCGAACAGGACCCCTTCCCTGCCCGCTGAGAAAGCAGGGCTTGTGTTGGGGATCTGGTGTCAGGATCTGTGGGAGGATCCGGGGGGTGTGTGTCTGAGGGTCTGGTGGGACTTGGTGTGTTTTCCCTGGACCTGGCTCCCCAGAGTGCCACATCCCAGAGCTGGGCTTGTAGCATGGTGGGATCCTCACCGTGATGCATCTTTTCCTGGCCCACAGGCAGCCCCTCCGTGGGGAGGATCGTGATGACAGCTGCTGCCAAGCACCTGACGCCCGTGACGCTGGAGCTGGGGGGCAAGAACCCCTGCTACGTGTCCGACTCCTGCGATGTGCAGAACGTGGCCCGGCGGGTGGCCTGGGGCCGCTTTTTCAACGCGGGGCAGACCTGCCTCGCACCTGACTACGTGCTGTGCAGTGTGGAGATGCAGGAGAAGCTGATGCCCGCTCTGCGTGAGGCCATCACTGAGTTTTTTGGCTCCAACCCTCGGGAGTCCCCCGACTTTGGCCGCATTGTGGGGGATAAGCAGTTCCGCCGCATCCGGGCGCTGCTGTGCAGTGGACGCGTGGCCATCGGAGGACAGACGGACGAGAAGGAGCGCTACATCGGTGAGGGCCTGGGGCCCCGGGGCTTGTGGGACCATCCGTGCCTGCACACTGAGTGATGCGTTGCCATAACCCTTCTCCGCAGCTCCCACGGTCCTGGCAGACGTGCTGCCCTCTGATCCGGCCATGCAGGAGGAGATCTTTGGGCCCATCCTGCCTATTGTCGTTGTGGCCAACATGGATGAAGCCATTGACTTTATCAATGCGCGGCCGCAACCGCTGGCTATCTATGCCTTCTCCTGTGACAGCAAGGTGCGTGGCCCAGAAAGTGGGCTGAGGGAAATGGGGCAGTAGGGCTAGCGCCCACCTCCCTGACACCCCGTGGCATGCTCTGGAAGGGTCTCTTGAGCCCAGCTGCTCTGGGCACACCACGCTGATGGGGTGATGTTTGGCAAGCGGTGCACATGGAGCCAGGGTGTGAGACCCACGTCCACCTTCTCTGCTTCCCTCCCAGGTGGTGAACCAGGTGCTGGAGCGGACAAGCAGCGGTGGCTTCTGTGGCAACGACACCCTGATGCACGTGACGTTGACCTCGCTGCCCTTCGGTGGGATCGGTAGGTCCAAATCCCCCAACCTGCCTGCCCCTGGCCAACATGAGCCAGGCGTGATCCTACCCCTGGTACCTGAGCCATGCTGGCCGTGGTGAGGAAGGGTCTTGGGGGGAGTCCAGGTCCAGAGGGCTCAATGGTCTGCAGGGAAATCCTTCTGCACCAGGTAGGACCCCACCAGAAGCGCTTTGCTTCGCTGCGCCAGGGCTGAGCTCTTGGGCTTTGCAGCCCTGTTTCTGCTGAACATGCGTGGAGCACTGTGAGGTTTCTTCTCTCTTTTCTTGCTGTCCCAAGCACAGTGTTCCCTGAGTATGTGCAAATGCTTCATATAAAAGGTAGGGAAATCTGTACCACTTGATCATTTCCCTGGTATTTCCGAGCAGCATGGGCACTGTGAGTAAATTTTGTGCCAGGGTTTGGTTCCTGCCCTACTCAGACTTACCTGGGTGCTCCTCAAGTGCTGCTCCCTTTGGTCTATCTGTCACTCTGCTCCTCATCTGGGAACATGTCTGACTTGTCATGCTTCTTGGGTAGGTGAGGTTCCTCCTGCAGACAGCGTGGTGCTGGATAGGAGCCCTTAACGTCACTCAGGAGCAGGCTTGTACATTCATTCTGCCTTTTAGGACTAAAGAGTAGGAGCAAAACGCTTAGAAATATCTGGAGAACCTGCTTATGGTAACTTGGAGATCCTCCTTGGCAAAGAGGAAGAGTTTCTGCTCTCCAGGGGCAACAACAATTGTTTTCTCAGATGAAAAGTGAGGTCTGCTCAGTCCTGGGCCCTGGTTGTAGCATTGTCCAGGGAAGAACACAGGAACACAGGAAGCCTCTGATGATGTTTCCCCAGAATACTTTTCCGAATCTCCTGGTCTCTTCCCCGGAATATTCTCTGGGGAAAATATCTGGTTTATGCTGCCCATGCTCAGCATCTCTGTCAGGGCTGACGGCTGATTCAGACATAATAGGACACCACAACAGCAAAGCACGATTAATTCCTCACCTGACTGCGGCTCAGGGAACAATTTTTGGTGGTTCCCATCCCATAACTTATCTTTATGGAAATGATTCAGACAAACTGCCTCAAATTATCAGGTGAAGCCATTTTATAGCAGCCCAGTCAGGTGAAAGGTCTGAGGTCATCGGGGTGAGATGGCATTCGCTAAAGCTTCCACAGTAGCTCAGATGTGAAGTCACTGGGCTATTAACCGCGATGTGCAACCTCAAGCTTAAACCAGCCACAGGACTCAGGAGAACTGGTGTTGCTAATGTGGCTCCAATTTTTAAGAGCTCCAGGAAGAAGCTGACCTTCGTAGGGGCCATGCTGGTAGCTCCTAACCATACGTAGATACGGTAGAGCATCGTAGAGGTTGTAGAGGGAAATTGAGCCTTGTAGACCCAGCAAAGCTTATGTAGATAAATGTTGGGCAGTAAAAATGATGCACTTGGACCTCCAAACAGTGGTGAGCTGCAGAAGGATTTGCTGGACTGAGTGGCTGTGGAGCTGGAAAAGGTGCAGGGAAGGGTGAGATCTCCTCCACCATGTCTGCGTTGCTCAGCAGCGGGAGCATTTGCATGAGTCTTGTGGTTTAACCCCAGCCAGCAACTAAGCACCACACAGCTGCTCACTGACTCACTGACTTCCCGCCCTCCCCCAGTGGAATGGGGGAGAGAATTGGGAAAAAAAGTAAAACTCATGGGTTGAGATAAGAACAATTTAATAGAACAGAAAGGATGAAACTAATAATGATAACACTAATAAAATGACAATAGTAACAATAAAAGGATTGGAATATACAAGTGATGCACAACGCAATTGCTCACCACCCGCCAACAAATGCCCAGTTAGTTCCGGAGCAGTGATCCCCCCACTCCCCCTGGCTTATATACTGGGCATGACATCCCATGGTATGGAATACCCCTTTGGCCAGTTTGGGTCAGCTGTCCTGGCTGTGTCGCCTCCCAACTTCTTGTGCCCCTCCAACTTTCTCACTGGCCGGGCATGAGAAGCTGAAAAATCCTTGACTTTAGACTAGACATTACTTAGCAACAACTGAAAATGTCAGTGTGTTATCAACATTCTTCTCATACCTAACTCAAAAACATAGCACTGTACCAGCTACTAGAAAGACAATTAACTCTATCCCAGCTGAAACCAAGGACAACAAGGAAAGCCTGTAAGGTTTCCTTTGCATTGACGATGCTCAGCGGAGTCCCGTAGCAAGTTTGGACCTGTGCTGTGTGTTGCAGGAAACAGCGGCTTGGGGAAATACCACGGCAAGTTCACCTTCGACACCTTCACCCACCACCGCGGCTGCCTGCACCGCAACATGGGCCTGGAGGCCCTCAATGCCCTGCGCTACCCGCCCTACAGCCAGCAGAAGCTGGGGCTCTTGACGGCCACCTTCGAGATCAAGCGCAAGGGCATGTGCACCCTGCTCTGAGGGCTGCCCCGCTGCCGCTCACGGACTGGGAGGGGGGGACTCCTGGCTGGGTCTCCCCAGGGAGCAAAACCACCCTCCCCAGGAGACTGGTATCCTCCTCCCTCCTCGGCACTGGTCTCTTGTTCCCTCGCCACGTCCTTTGCCTCGCTGCCACCCTGACGCAGGTTGGATGATGGGGATGGACATCTCCTCCCGCACCTTCACTCATCCCCAGCTCTCTCTGCTCCAGGGGAGCTGTTTGCTGGGACACATATGAAATGACAAAAAGTTCTTTTTCTCAGCCCGTACTTCTCTTCCTAGCAGAGAAATGGTCCCCACGAGGCTGAGGACCAGCAGTTAGCCCCATCTCCTGCTAGATGGACCTTTCCTTCTGGATGAACCTCACTCTCCCTCCTCTCAGTGCTGGCTGTTGCTTTTTCCTCCATGTAACCCTGTCTGTAGTAAAGACTTTGCATTCAGCTCTCCTGCCTGGCCTCCCCTCGCGCCTCTGTCACCCGGCTTGGGGGGTGCCGGGCAGGAATCCAGCAGCTGAGCCCCAGGGGGTTGGTGCCCAGACCCCTGACATCCCCATCCATCACAATGACACCCTCAGCCACACCATCACACCCCGTTAGGGTTGCGTCCACCTCCCATCACCCTGTGCCCGGTGCCTGCATGGCACTGAGGTGCCCTGGGCTGGATTTGGGGCGCGTTTTGCATCCCAAGTGGTTTGGGCTGGAGTGGAGGCAGCGGTGATGTGCAGCAGGGCAGGCAGCCAAGTGGCAGAACAGAAAGCCGGCAGCCTCCCTCCTCCGGGGGAGCGAGCTGTACCAGGGACTGGGGTGGCTGCCTGCCTGCACCCTGCCTGCCTGCCTGCACCCTGCCTGCATCCTGCCTGCCCCACGGGCAGCCCCAAGGGCAGCCCCAGGGCTCAGCAGGATCCTGGCTGCAGTGCTGGTGTGCTGGCCAGGCTTGCTGAGGCCACCTCCTCTGGGTAAAACACCCTGTTAGCTGGGGTGGGGAACCTGTGGTTTGCAGCCCAAACAGTGCGAGGCTGCCGGGAGCCTGCCCAGTCTGCGGGCAACCTTGGTGTAACGTGCACTGTGCCAGTCCCTTGGGACTGTGGAGATCAGCAGCGTCTTCCTGCAACCCGGCATGCAGCAGCCCACCGAGCCCTCCGGGGAGCAGCCCCCTGGCAGCGGGGCTGGGAAAGCCCCCGAGGATAACGGCGATGCCATGAGGTGGGAGCGTGTGGCCGGGACAGGGGGGAGGCAGGAGGGGTCCGGATGCTCTGCCCTCTCCTCAGGGCTCCGCTTTGATGCTGGGCTGGGGTGATGTGGAGCTCCTCTCTCTCATCACTGGGACCATGAGGGGCTGGGACAGGGATGGCGATGGGATCCCTCTGACATCCCCATCCCCACAGTGGGAACCCCTATGCGGAGCTGGTGAGCCGCCTGCGGGCAGCCTGGCTCTCGGGGAAGACGCGGCCCATGGAGTACCGCGTGGCTCAGCTGGAGGCTCTGGGACGCTTCTTGGATGAGAAGCAGCAGGACATCCTGGAGGCCACCACCGCAGACATGCGCAAGGTGAGAGGGAGCCAGCAACCGGGGGATCCAGTGGCTGGAGGAGCCGAGGGGCTGCCTGCAGCCCTGCTGGCTCCTGCCGTCACGCAGAGGGTTGATGTGATGCCCTGGTGGAGCCTTCCCACCCATTCGGTGCTCCAGCCCCGTGTTGGGCTCTGCCCCGGGCTTGGAGCCAGTGGATGTTGATGGAGGCAGCAAAGGAGAGACCGAGCTGGAGCACATCCCAGCCCACCTACCCCAGAGCTCGTCCCTGTCCCCAGTGTGGACAGAGCGGGGCTGTGGGGAGTGCCCAGACATAATTAGCCATTCGAAACCCATCAGCCTCAGTTTACCTCTTTTCTGGGCACATCCATCCCCAATTCCTGTCACCCCCCTCTGTGTGCTCCCTGCCTTGGGCTTTCCACCAAATGTCGTCCCCTCCCCTCTCTCGGTGCTCACCCAGGCTGCAGGTCTCAGAGCCTGGACCCCCCAGCTTTGCATCGTCCCCTGCCTCTTTGCTCCCTCTCTCCCACCTCTGTCGTGGTCACCAAAGGCAGAGGCAGAGCAGACCCATCCCCTGCGTCTCCATAAGTCCTCAAAGAGCTCCAGCCCCCCCCCCCCCAATAGTTCCCCCTTTGGTACAGCTCATTCACCCACAGCCAGAGCCTCACACACCACACAGGGCTCATCATCTGTTGTTCTCCATCCTAGTTCACAACTTCCCTTTGGACACCCTCCCCATCCTTACCGCAGTCCGGATCAACGGCATCCGCATCATTTTTCCTATTTTTAAGCAGCCAGCTCTTGTGCTGAGAGGAGACCTGGAGTAATGCTTGATCCCATTAGGGAAAGGTGTGCTGCATTTCACCTCGCTTCCCATTTGCTTCAGCACCCTTTGTGCTTCTCCTTTCCTGATCTGGGTGGGACCCTGACACCCACCTGCATTGGGAAGCCTCCAACGCGGGCTTTGGGAAGCGCTGCCAGCACTGACTCGGTCCTGGGCAGATGCTCCCTTGGACCACCTTCCCTTCCCTGCCTGGTGCGGAGCGTCTCCGGTCAGGTCTGGCTGGTGCGGTGCTTGCAGCTCGTGTGGTGCCCAGCAGCTGGTGGCCAGGGCTGTGGCAGGGTCACTGAAGAATGCTCAGAAACAGGGCAAATACACATGGTACTTCCAAATACTTTTGGAAGCCAGCAACACTGCCTCCTGTCCACAGTGAGCTGTGTGCGTGCTCCACACTTGCTGCCGTGGCACTGCGGGCAGCACTGGCCACCCGGCAATGTAAGCTGCCCCTGGGGCCACCACTCCTATGAAAGGAAAAACAAGATACCCAAACATCTACTGCTGCTCCCTTACCAAGAGAGCGGTTTGTGCTGTCACACAAGGGAGTCAGAGCATCCTTCTGCCTGCGGTTTGTCCAGTCTCTTCTCAGGGACATGTCGGACACCTCCTGCAATATCCTCCCTGGTCACTGGGTCTCTGCTTCTTCTTTCTTCTACTCTACAGTGAAGTACCAGGCTTGGTCTTTTCTGGCCTCATCATGGAAAGCCCCGTGCAGGGATCTGCTCCGGCTTGGGCCACATCCCCTGGCACAAGCCCAGCTGCTCCAGCCCACCCGAGACATCCCGCTCACCCAGATCCCCACTGCAGGGGCTGGTAGCTATTGTTAGTGTCAGTTGTGCTTCCTCATTTTCCTGAGGTTCCCTTTTCCTCGGAAGAGACATCCAACACATCGGTCTCCTCGTGCTGCTTTCTCTCTCCCTGGATGGGCAGTCCAGCTTCTTCCTTCATCTTGCTTCTCCTCCTGATGTCATGCTGAGCCACATGCCTGCACTGCTCCCAAACTCCTCCACCCTTCGGGCTCCCTCTCTGCATGACTGTCCCTCCTCCCGCCCTGCTGAGGACAACCTCTGGAAGCTTTTCCTTCCTGCTCTCCCTCCTTCCTAGGCTTGGTGGTGGATCTCCTCCCTGCTTTCTCAGCTCACTCTGCCAAAAAAACCTGCTCAAACAGGCTCCAAAATCTGGGTATTCCCTTTTCTCCCATATTTCCTCCCAAATCTTGACACCTGGGTGGTGGATACCCCCCAGGACTGGCTGGGTTTATCCTTCAAACCTGCCACTTCCCCACCACTCCCTATCCACCTTCACCTTCCACCTTACCCCTGTGTAAGAAGAAACCCAACTGTAGGACAAATATCAACGGGTCCCCTGTTGATCGATGGTGAGGAGCTGCTGGCAGAGCCGGACCTCAGCACCGGCACTATTCCCATGCCGGTGACACGTCCACAGCGGGAAAGCCAAAGCCAGGCAAAGCAGGGTGGTGGTGGGATTTGCACCCGGATCTCTTCTGAGCTTTTATTTATTTGGTTAAACCCTTGAAGACTCTTACCTGAGTTGCTCTCTGGCAGGTCATGAAAAAATAGCCCATCCTGCTGGAGTCCATCAACTTGTTTTGTTTGGGTATGAAAACACATGTGATTGATAGAAAAAGGGATTGTGACTCGGGATGCTCTTGTCTCCAGACCAAACAGGATTCAATAGCCAGACCAGCCCTTTCTTCCCCCAAACACCACCACTGCCTTCACAGACCCCTCTCCTCCCCAAACACTTAATTTTCCTGAACCTCAACTGAGCTCCCAGCAGAGAAAGCCCGGCCGCAGGCAGGTGACTGTCAACAGGACAAGCCTGGTGATATTGCGACAGGATTTTGGAGCTTACCAACACCCCACCCCGCAGATGTGGTGGGGCTGGCCCCCTCCCCATGGCAGGCTGCGCTGTGCAGCTTGCGGGTGAGAACAAAGTGTGCATCCACCACGGGACATGAAGGGCTTGGGTCCTCAAATTTTGGGTAAAAAAACCATGCAGGGTAGGGATCGCAGCACATGCGGAGCTGACACATAGGGTGCTCTGTCCCCAGCCGTTCTTTGAATCTGAATTCTCCGAGATCCTCCTCTGCAAGAATGAGCTCCATGAGACCCTGAACAACCTGTCCCACTGGATGAAGGACGAGCACGTGGACAAGAGTCTGGTAAGGGGGAAGATGAGGTAGAGGATGGGGGGAAGGACCCAGCTGCCAGGCAGAGATGGATGGGACGTGGGCATGGAGACGGTGGTTCAAGAAAGCACTCCTGACGTGGTGGGTGTCCTGCAGGTGACCAGCCTGGACTCAGCCTTCATCCGCAAGGACCCGTATGGGGTGGTACTCATCATCGGGCCCTGGAACTGTCCCATCCACCTCCTCATGGTGCCCCTCATCGGGGCCATCGCTGCCGGTGAGCCGAACCTCCCTCCTGGCCCGGAGGATCCAGGCAGTGCTGGGCACCAGCGAGGACACCTTGTTCTCAGGCTGGGGTGCCAGAAGGGCTGGCTGTCACCATGTCACTGCTCTGACATCCCGTCTCTCTCCCCCCAGGTAACTGTGTCATCATCAAACCCTCGGAGATAACCAAGAACAGCCAGAC